CGAATTGACCATTACTCATTATTTTATATCGCGAGCATAAACATACACGAACGTCACCGAAGCCAGTCGTCATAGCTCAATATCCGTTAATAATTTGTCACGTACTCGTGTGAGTTTGTGATTATGATTCTATCGGTGGCGCATGCGACAGTTCAATAGTAGAAAATGTTATGAGCGTATACACAGTGATGGATCAATCATTGGATTTTATATTTTGTACAAACAAACGAAATCCAAGATGACTAAGCATTTAGCGACTGAATCGATTACATTGTGTATTTTTAAGTTTCCTAGTAAAAAAAATAACAAAATATGTGTATATGTAATATATATGTATATGCAGTAATGTCGTATTATGACAGCGTCGTCTGTGCATATACTGTTGACGATCGTCAAAACCGATTCTGTTTATGACGATGATCGATGAATGCACAGCGGCGGTGTAGATCATTTAAACGTTTTGGGGAAAAAAATCCCTTTACGGATTATACCTACCTACCTATCGTGCACGTTATACGTCGCGATAAACGGTTTTAAAGTCATGAAAAGGATATAGGTAAATATAATATATATAACGAGGCCGATTATATTCAGAAGTGTATTATTCTTTTGCATCATTAGGCGCTGTGCGGAGAGCACAATAGCCACGAGCATTTATAGATTTCCGTCAAAACGGTAGCTCCGGTGTACGCATTTATATAAGAATAAGGACGCATAAAAAATATCTATCGTACCTATATATACTGCGAAATGCCGCTCGGTGATTAATGATTTGATGTATTTTGTTCTCCTTTTTGGGGTCGCCCCGGGACCGTCTACCGTGTCGCATTTAAATTAGACACCTTGAGATATAAATGAATATAACGTTTCAAAACATATTTAGGGTAAGTGCGCGCAGGATGTACGCATAATATAATATACAAAATAAATTCGCATACGAGTACATACAATATTATATACCTTTGCCTACAAACGTAAACGCACAATACACATATACATAGTTATACATAGGTGCATTAGATATCACCGCAACTTATTATTATATAGATATGTATGCTATATGTATCATGCGTATACTATACTGTGTGTATGTGTGTAGAAAATGCTGCCAACGACGACGACTGTCGACGGACGCTGCAGATAAACATCGGAACGCGCACATTATGTATTTAACACGACGAAAGGATCGTGTTTTTTTTTTAATCATCTTAACAAAAAAATCATATAGTCGTTGACGTCAGGTAAAATATGAAAAAGAAAAAAATGATAATAAATTTCAAGATTAAAATAAATAACACACACACACACACACACATACATATATATATATATATAAACATATACTCGTGCATTTAAAATCCTAAGTAAAATTGTTGCATGTTTTAGATTAGATAGATATAATTAAATTAATAGCCCGCGCGTATATACACGTGCTAACAACGTTGTCGCTAATTCTAGTCTCTTGTTTTTGCGACTACAAATCACAACACAAAAAAAATTTAACAAACAAATTTAAAACATATTTTTTTCTCTTTTTATACATTGTGGTTCAGAATCCATATAGATGTACTAAATGTATGATGGGCGTCGGTTTACTGCTCGGCGCTCGCACTCCGGTCATAACGAGCCTGTGTTTAATTTTTTTTAATTTTTTTTTTTTCATGTAAAAGCTTCATTGTACAGGAAAAAAATATACATATAATCCATAGCGTATATTAACTATATATATATATTACATATATAAAAAATATAAATGACACAATATGCACCGAAAGCAAACTAGAGGACGTTCACGGGAAACAATGCCGTTCTGATGGTCTACATAAAACAAGCCTGTTAATGAAACTTGCCTATTGTGCCAACAGTCATATCAATGGAGCATTGTGACGTTACTGATCGTATACGGACCGTGCCGTTTATGCAAATCAGTGGTTTATTTTTTCTAAACGGCTTGAAAATAACAAAATATACAGCTTGTTTGTCAGTTATCTATGCCAAGTATAGGCACACACAAACTCACATATTATATACACACAATATATACCTATATATTATACAAGCATATTGTGCACCGAGAAGAAGTATGCATATTATATATATACATATTATTATCATACTCTCATTGATTTGTTTTTTCCTTGTCCGTGAGTCCGTGACTATGTAATTTTCGTTCATTATTATATTGGGAAATTATAAAAAAAAATCTACATATGCATGCACCTATAAGTACGATAATGTACTTGATAAAACTGGTTATTTTGCTCTGATGTCCGGGAAAATCCGAATATATTGCGATCGTTGTTTGTTATATGAATTAAGTTATGCAATTCTTTTTTGTTTCTTTCGTGGTTTTATTTATTTTTTCACACACATTAGGTATTCGCTCATCGCGGATCATCATAAATGTGGGTCACCTTGAAACACACCGCTACGATTACTATACTGTAGTACCATCACCATCACTACCACTGTTGCTGCTGTTGCTGCTGCAATTATATATATTCACTGACGGCTCGGCAAAAGTGGGTGTGATAGTGTCGGGGTCTAATGGTCGGATATCGTGATGTCCATTAGCGAGTAATTGTGAAATATCCGGTATTCATTAGACTCGACTATTATTATTATAGAGTGTGTGTACGCTACACATAATTTTTTTTTTACTCGTATTTTTTTGTGGTCAGCTGCTGCTCCTCTTTCGGTGGCAGTGTGAGATCTCTCTTCCGCGTCTGCGTGTGTCATCAAATGGACCACTCCGGTCAAAGATTAAAGTAGAAAAGGTAAAATTAAAATAGATTTCCAAACGTAAATCGTAATAATACAACACTTACTACACATAGTGTAAATATACAATAATAATAATATTCGTCATTGTAAGTCGATATTAACATATGCATAGTAAACACTTGAAAACTGCAATATGTTTAATAAGCAACATAAATTTAACTAGAATTTTAACGAACTCGTCATGCAACTCGTGTAAAATTAAAATCGCAAAGCAAAATTAATGATTCGATCGTTATTTTTCTCGACACATTTGATTAGACCGTAGCAACCTTTAATGACAATTTTATTATTCGCATATTATAATAATTATTCTAATGAGTGAATTAATTTATAATCGTAGCTCACATAAGATCGTTTGTGATTAAAAATAAGTCTCTAGAATAGAGAATAATATATATTAAACAACCAAGCTCAAAAGTTATAAATTAAATTTTAATAAAGATGGTTTTATGTAGCAACTCGTATATAAAATAATTAGCCGAAGTGATTTAGTAGGTATACTCGGCCAACAAATTAGCATTATGCATACATTGAATTATGTGAAATGTATTATGTCGAATGTTATACATTACACATATTATACACGATTGTAGACTAGATTTTAATTTAGACAACAATATTATAAAAAATATAGGCTGCACGTACGTGTAGTTTTTATTTTAACATTATAAAGTTTACGTAATATGATGTTCATATGCCTATTTATTTTTATTTACTATAAATGACCTTAAAATTATACTTTACATTATGTAAGTATATAGACATATAAACACAATAACACATAAAAATCTTTTAATTTATGAATGGTTTTTTTATAAAATGTTACGCGTATTTGTTTTGTAATATCTATATTTAGATGTAGTTAACAGAGGTATAGGAGGCACTGCCTTCCATTAATGATATTTAATAATTTTTACATACAAATAGGATTTTTATTTGATTTTTTGATGAACTAGTGTACAATTATAATTGTTTGTTCCAATTAGAGTAATTAATATCTGCGATACATAATGGAGAAAGTTTACGTGAAACCTCACACGAAGTGTCGGATGCCGATTTTAGAATTTAGGGGACGGGATATATAATACTCTATAATTTAATAAATAATTAATTAATAATCGATGTGTTCGTTATGTACAGGCAATACGTAAACATACGTGGTTAATATATACACATATATATAATAACGTGTATGTACTATATATTATATGTATAGGATTTGTGTTTTCATTTTAAACCGATTAATCGATGATCGAGCGTGGGCGTATACGAATATATATTACGTATATATTCTATATACCCACCGCCTTGGTCGTATCTTGGGTCGTGCTCGGTTTAAAAGCAACGCGGGTTTATAACTAAATTAATTAAAAAAAAAAAAAAAAAACCGATATTAATATAATCGTTATTATTGCCGCTATCGAGCCTATGAATCGGTATATTGTTATTAGTCTATTACTTTCCGTTCATACAAAAAAAAACACTTTACGCCCATTCCGTGTTCGCACGGACTTTTCGTGACCCATTCGCCCACATCAGATCACCCGGCGATTATTCACGTACATTTCCGATGAGCCCGTTCCAATACATTGCAAAATAAGCCAGTTACAATAATAATAAAATGTACGTCGATAATTATGTCTATTATTAATATACATTATTTTCAATATGGAAGATTTTTAACTATACGTGCGTGATCGCGACTATAAATATATGTAAAAAACTTTATCGTCAATAAATTCTAAAATCCCTATTTACAATTTATAATTATAAATACTATTATTTTCATATTTTAAAAATTGAAAAAAATTATGCAAACTAAAAATGTGTTGTATGTAGACTATTATTATTTTGATAACAGTAATATCGTGTTGTAATATTCTATAAATAGTAACTTTGTATGATGGTCGAAGTAGAAAAAAACCGTTTGTAAAGTACCTAATTAGTTTTTTCGAAAATAGTATAATATCCTATTCGAATTATATTAACATATTTGTTCTGGCGTTGAAGTCTCCTATAGTTTTTCGATTACCATAAATAATAATATTATGTATTGATAATAATAATAATTGTAAGAATAAATCATTTTTTTTTTTTTGCGATTGGAAAACGTAGGTATATTACGACTAAATGGTAAAAAATCTATAAAGTACCGCGGAAAATTGTAATGACGATCACACGAATTTTAAAATAATCGACGAAAACGTTTTACTTACATTCAGTTTTTAAATCGACGCGTAGGCGAGCAGCATATCCAATGGGAATCCGCCGAAATGCCCTTTTCAGTCTCGCGGCTCTATATGGACGTGTCACCGTCTGGTCATCGTTGCCGAAAACGCACAGAATTAAGAGTTCAAGAGTTCAAAGGATAAAAACGATCGTAACTTTTCGACGAGAAAAAAAAAAAAAATAAAAAAAATATTTAGACGTACAAATTTTTTGGCGAACGCGCAAAATTCAAACGACGAAACAATATACAATATAATTATTATTATAATAAAATATTGTCGGCGGCGGCGGCGCGACCGGATCCGTCAGAGCGAATGTGATCGCGAATATGACGTTCCGCGGCGGTGACGACGACGTTGTCGCAGCGGCGCGATAACTGAGTGACGACGATACTACGACGAGTAACGATTGACGACCACTACGGGGGCCACGGCTATTCGCGGTGTGTGTGTGACGGGAAAACACGAACTGGTCCGGAGCGCCTGCCGGCTTGTACTGGCCCGGGCCGCGATCTCGTTCCGGGAGGCCGCGACGCGGCCGCGCACCGGTTGTGCTCTCGGTGGGGATACCCGCGGGTCGGCGCCGCTGCCGCGGTGGGAGCCGTGCGGGGGGCGTGCCCGAAACGCACCAATGCCGAGTCGGCCCCACCGCCCGGGCCGTCGCGCGAAACTCGCCCCTTTTTCCCCGCCGCCGCCGCTCGTTCGGCGATACATTCGCTCGGCGGCGGTTCACACCTGCCGTTCGACGCGCGTCGACGTCGTCGAGCACGTCGTCGTCCGAGAGATTTCCGCCGTTATGATGATATTATGTTGTATGTACACCTATAGCTGGGTCTTTGATATTCGCCGCGTCCTCTGTTTTTTACCGTCTTCCGCTTCCGTAGTCCGTGAACAAAAACCACGTATACCCGAATGTCTTTTAGGCGTTCACGCGCGCCTAGTCGATCGCCGAGTTTTCTGGGGCGAGAAAACTGCAGTGTGAAAAGCAGCCGTGATGCGTTTTACGCGTACATAGGACGGTGCGATATCGCCCGATATTAAATTGCTTAATTAGGAGGTACCCGTCGCGTATTACAATACGGTGATATTATTATGTACAGGTAGGTAAACCTACCTGTTTAATAGGTGCGTATTTAGGTGTACCCGCGGCTAATGGTTTTCGATTTTCCCACGAATTTATCACCGGACTAATTATTAATACGCGTCGAGCCAAAACGCAAACGCGGCCGTCAAATTACCGCCGCCGCCGCGTATACCTATATTATAATATTATAATACCCACATAATATATAATGTATAAGAAACCAATCAACGCAAAACCAATCGGTTTGCATTTGTATCGGTTATATAAATATATATATATATAGGTTTATGCAGACATTTATTACTTTAAAGTGTGTGTGTGTGTATGTCTGCGTGTGTGTTCGAGCGAAGTCGGATTGATAATTATAGGTGTATAATAACGCGTATACAAGTAATGTATTTTTGCGTGTTGTTAAACGCGCGTACAAAAATATTATATATCTGGGTAATAGCAGTGTATAATATGTAGTGTGTATATTATAATATAATATAATACGGCGATTTTCATATTATATATTTTAAACTTCGTTGGAAAATGTTGTTATTATTATATATAGGTAGTTATAATACATGATAAGTAATGGTTTTATTTTTATAAAAAAAAAATTGACTACGCATGTGCAGCGGCATATAGATATACGCACTTTTACTGAACTACGTAATAATATATTATATTATAATATGTGTAATGAATAATAACATAATATGTCTAATAAAAGTATGCGTAGTTTGTAAAGATCAAATTAAATGCGCATACTTGCCTAAAACACAATAAATAACATATTATAATATACTTAAAAGTGAACAATTATTTAATCGCGCGCGCATTAATATATACTGAAAGAACAATAATTATAATCACGATTTAAGTATGGGTATATCTGTCGTAAAATATTATATTTGTAAGTCGTAGGCAGGCAGGTAGGTACTTATCTCATTCCATATATTAGTCACATTATGTAGTGATAGATATCCTTTGGTGAAGGCGCGGTCAGTGCGGAGGTGTGAGTAATATTAGATTGTTCACCGGCATTATTGTGTCGAATAAGCCCGTAATAAAGTTATTAAAAAAACATTAAAACGGTTTGATTAATTTGTTCCTGTAATAATTAAATGTTACCAAATATTTCAATCTAGTCTCGTCGAAATCATATCGAAACCATTAAAACCAGACTAAAATGCACGTCGCGTTTAATAGCTGCTTATACATATTGTTCAGTAATATTCAAACTTACCAAACCTTTGTATATAGGTATACACTCTGAACAGGGAACAAGGGCATGCCTGTACTTAATCGAATACGATAGTATATTTCAATTCGACCACTGTGGTGAATATAATAAAAAATATTTATAATATTTTACTTTAATTGCAATTACTATTATTATATTAATAACGTATATTATATTCGGTTTGAACGTCATACTATTTGTAATAAAAAAAACAAGTAAAACTAATTTTAATGCCTTACTCGAGGACATTTTCGAGCAAAACAATTTAATGAGAGATGTAGGTAGACGCGCATGTACACTATTAGTGATGACGACTGCAGTTCTAATATACCTATTTATATCTATAAATATATTTGTGTATGTGTATATATAATATGTTACGTTGTAGTCGTTATACACGATTTAAACGTTTATGTTGAATGTAACTATATGTACCTACCTATGTATCTATATAACCAACCTAACCTTTCCGTGAACCGTTATTTTAATCATCATTGAGATGTTGGTATAAATATATACGTACCGGAAAAATTGTGTTATGGCAATTTAGTTAATTTGAAATCAAGTCTTGTACCCGAATTTAACTGAATATTCTTAATATTCATACACTATATATGTAGAAATAATACTCGTAAAAATCGTAAGCTTAAAAACTAATAGCGTTGTCAAAATTATCGACAAGTGACATGTCCCTTCAATTCCCATGTATGTATTAGAGAATTGTACATTTTTTATTATATAATATATTATTATATGTATAGGTATATCACTTAAACTTAAGAAATATTTGAATGACAACACAAAATCGAACAAAATAAAATATATATTATTTTTTGTAAATTATATATACATGAATAATTATCCTAACTTATATTATTATGCGGTTGTAATTGTCGTATTTGAATATGAAAAACCACGCCTGACAATCAAAACTATTCAGGCGCTGAATTTCGTATAAAAACTAATCTCTACATAAATGTTCATCGGATCGTATTATTATTAGAAGAAAATAAAGAATAGATTTTCTGATAAACCATTATTATTTGATAGCATTTTTACGTAAGTATTATTAAAAACATATTTTTAATACGATTATATTGTGCAGAGGTGTATTTTTATTTTTCATGTTTATTGGACAACATAATAATATAGATTAAATTATTGCCATGTACAAATGTATATTTAAATTCGATTATGTCTGTATATATACAGTCCTTTTTATATTTTTATTTTTATATACTTGACAGTCTTGTTTAATCTGTGAAAATATGGTATGTATGCGTTATACATAAAAATATGTGAATGTTGTTATAAATTGAATAGGTGCTTATGGCGTATAGTGCAGGCGCAATGTAAATTATGGTCCACATTAACTAGATTAGTCTTAAACCGAAAGAAGTTCATAACATCGCTTTTACTTTACCGCCATTTCTAGTGCGCGCGCGCGTTAATAAAAATGCATTATTGTTGTTTAAAGGTTAACCGTAAAGCGAGAAACCTTCAAGTGCACCCATATAATATTTGAATCATAGCTATTTTGTACAGGTAGGCTTATAATATTATATTCATACTATACAGTAACATGTATAATAAAGGCATATAAAATAAATCTATCATTAAGTATAAGTACATGATATAGAATCAGACTTTATAGACATATACGACGTACGTATTAGTATACAGCAGGTGCGTGGGTTACCAAATGGCGGACCAAATCGTTTTATTTTTTACTTATCTTATTATAAACACAAAAACTACATATGACAGAATGATTTTCAAACATATGTGTTTAAATTGTATTTAGTGGTTTGTATATATAGGGTCTGTAAAAGAAAAAAATTGTTCACGGTCCGCCGCTTGGTGACCCCAAGCTGGTACAGAGAATATGCACTTATATAAACCTAATGGCTTATGGAAAATGTATATTATGTAGGTATAAACTGTGCACCTGTAAATCTGTTAAAGCCGTACGCTTAATTTTGTATGCATTGGTTTCTTTTATAATATGCATCGACTGCACAAATATAAACATTATTATTGCAGTAATTTAAAACCAAAACCCATTGATTACTTTTTTCTTTTGAACCACATAAATATACAGTCAACGACGTTAAGTAAAAATCGATTTATAATGTTGCGTTTTCCCACTCTAATTTCAGATTGTAATTGACTTACATTGTTCTTGTCCAGAGCCTAATCGACGTACAAAATGTTATTAGCCCGGTTAATTGGATTTTACCTGATGAGTTTGTTTACCGTTAGTAGCTGGTTATTATTATCAATATAAAATATTATTACTGTCTGCGGTGGTTAAAATTATGTTTGCAAAAAAAAAAAAATAAATGTGAAATTACACGAATCTAGTTTGCAAGTCAACAAGATTAGGTTTTCTAGATTAAACCAAAGACTTAAATCTATTTATCTTGGCTTATTATCATATAATTCTTATTTTGGGAGGTCGTCAGTCACTCGTCACGGATATATGATAAATGAGAATTCTATTATTGCGTACAAAATAATGTTTATTATTTACATTTTAAAATAGTAAAATTCGTATTTTAACGAGTTTTTTAAATTATCATATCATACAAACATTAATAACGTATCAGCTACTGATGTCGGAGTAAAATAAAATTAAAATAATTTATAAATTCGTTTGAATTACGTTGGTTTTTAAATAAATTTTGAAAAATATTAAAGACATACTATTTATGTTCTATTTATACCTATGATTAAAAATCTAATACACGTTTATACTTGAAACTTGTGCACACAGTTTCAAAAACTATCATATTTTATGTATTGCGTATATTTTAATACCACGTAGTACGTACAATAATGATGCATATTTAGTATAATATAATAAAAACACTACTAGATCTTTTAATAATTAATCTATCACATCATATTTATTGATATTACACTATAACTTGTATATAGTGTATACAAATATAATAAATACCATTAATAAAGTTATTGCAGATCTATACTTAAAGATCTGAAATTTGTTGTCTAAATTATAATTTATAATGTACACTTATTGATTATTACTATTATATATCATATTAATTTAATATTTATGTATATACTATGTATAGCTAATAGCTATTACTCTTTATCTTATTCCACTTCTCGAAATAAAACGTGTCAACCAATATGTAGGTAATTA